CCTGGAGTAGATGTGTCACTCGATGATAATGATGACTATAAGTAGCCATTCCAGGATCTCCTGATTTTGTCAGTAAAACATCGATTTCTGAGATCGTGACATCGAGCATTTAAAGTCGAAATTGTTGACCTAAAATTGCGTTTACTGTCACCGGTCTGCTTCGACTTCACAGAATGCCGAGCTGACTTTCCGAGTTCGTTGGACGTCCGCCTTGACGGGTCCAGTTGGACACACTGTCACGGTGCGATAGACTGTTATCAACTACTGATAGTCGCTGAAGTTGCTACTAGTCATAGAGAATGCTGAGGGTAAATTCATTTTGAGATGGTGATTACAGTCAATAGCACGACACACTGATCACTCCTCTGGGATGAGCTATGCCGTCAAACCTTGCCTAGGTGTGCTTGGTGAGACGTTTCGCAGGTCACCCCACCATTCTATCCTAGCTCTAGAAATACGATTTCGAGCTAGTAACGTTCCTGTGAGCATTCATAGTGCGACCTAGCTATCGTAGGGCATGAATCAGCGACCTTACATAAGCCTGTTATTCACTGATGCAGTGTGATTGTAGAACGGAGTATTGCTGCTCAACGTTGGATTAGAGCCCAGATCCAGACCCGTCAGAGGTAGTCGTGTTGCGATGAGTGACCTAACGTCGAGAGGTACGTACGACCAGCAGAAGAGGTCCTGCTGAGGTCCGATAGACCCGAACTTTTGGCTTACGCAGTGCCCCACTGAGTTTTGATTCGAGTCCCAGATCCTTTCGGTCTGTGGAAGAAGTCATCCCCTCTTTCGGTCGTGATTTATACTTAACTACTGCTTTCCTATATCGGTGTTTGGACCGTCCGACGTTTTTTAACAGTCGTCCTCATCATCAGCGGCACTGCCTTTTAATGGAAAGTTATTCACCTCCACCCTCCCCCCCGTTTCAGTATCACCGGGCGGCAATCACGTCAGTTGAATGGCACCCGAACGAGGCTGGTATTTTTGTCGCTACCTCGGAGGACGATCAGACGACTTTGTGGGACATTACCCTTGAGCAAGAGGTCCCCGCCGCAGCCGCCGCCGCCGACATGGACACCGACGAGGGAGGGGCGGATGCAACCAACGACACCAGTGAGGTTCCCGTCCAGCTGCTTTTCATTCACACTGGCCAGCATGAAGTAAAGGAAGCCCACTGGCACCCACAGATCCCGGGCCTCGTGATAAACACCGCTGCCGACGGATTTAACGTTTTTCGGACAATTTGTGTTTGAATTCACAGACGCAGAGAAGTGACGCCACGTTGCATGCTTCTTCAGACCGTTTTCATACGAACACTGTATAGTTATCGCTTGCCAGACTATCCGATTTTTGTGATTCCAACCCCGTTCGCCCCGGTTCATGGGCCAAAAGCAAGAAAGTAGGAGAAGTATAACACAAGGCTGTGTCAGAAATGCGATTGAAGAGGGCGTCGGCATAAAGAGTGCAATACTTTACGGACTTAAGTGGCCAACCAACTAGTTATGTTAGATTGGGAAAACTGCTGCCAGTGTTTGTAGGGCGAAACACCACTCCCGCTGATGTCTCTTTTCTGTACATATCAAAATAAGTCCATTTTTGTAATGACGACATCCGGACTCCCGCCTTTACTGAAGCTCTTATATTCAGAATAAAACAACGAAAATTTATGCAGAACACAGATGCCGCTCTTGTCGGTGGTAGTCACGCCCTCGTGCATATAGGTTGAATTTTCAGCTATGCGTCATGGTGAAACTGATGACTAACTGCTAAAGGAATGATTTGGCTGGACAGGGGCGCCGCTTGAGTCTGCCGTCTTGACTGGTGTGTTTTCAAATCAAACGCAGCGAACCTGGGCGTTGGTGCGCCGACAGCTGTGGTGGGTTGACTGTCCGTCCACAATGATCTGACGCTGGTGAGGGTAATGCAAGGGTCGTTAACCTTCCTCTAGGACTGCAAGTTTCCAATAAATTTGACAATTTTCTTGGTTATTGGCCAAATGCCCCCAAGCACGGAGTCGTCGCCTTAGAGCGTTTTCCGGTCCTTTGCTAATTTTCTGTTTGATCCAGCACGAACATGTCTTAGGATGAATTGCGTTCGTCGTCGCGACGGCCTTGTGTCAAGCCTCTGCACCATTGGTTGCCAGACTAGTGTAGACGCCGTAGTCAATCAGAATATGCCGTAAAGTATATGTCGCCTCCACGCATTGGGGCATTTATCTGCAGTGAAAAACAGTGGGAATGTGCATTTCGCCAACGATGCGTAAGCCTCTGAAGCAACCAGGCAGAGGTGCACTTAATACACGATCTGGTCGCCCTTCGTGTGCACGCACCATCAGGACTTAGGCACTTCGGTCGGCTTGTTTCTGTAATTCACTTACTTATAGGCTAACTTTGACGCAGTCATAGTAGTGAGCCACCCCTTTTTGGTTACCAAGAAGACTAATGAACCACACGATGAACACTGACTCTGTTTACCCGGGCAAACCGAGTTAGCGACTCCTAGGAAGCTAATTACAATGACGCCGTCAGCACTATTGTTTCTTCGACAATAACAACGGACGTGCCCATAGGAATGCTACCCTGACTACCTACTACAATGCCACTGCCAAATCAGAAGTCGGGGAGAGACAGTCGAGAGCAGTCTCTTCGGACACGCGGAGCGCACGCTAACTCTCTAGAAGAGACAAGACCCGATGTGTTATTCCAACGGCGGCGGGCCTGAGCAGCTCGCTGTGACATCCACAGAGCACGGGAACTGGTACGGAGCCGCATAGTTTGACTACCAAACAGAGGACTGCCCTCTGTGCTGCAAGTGACGGGTTTCATGATGCACTGACCGGCTATTTTCGACAGGCTTTTAGATGCAAACGTTAATCCAGTGGAGTTGCGAGACCGATTGGCGGGGGAGTGCGATCTCAATCGCGCCCCTTTACGGCAGGGATCTGGCTGTTACTGAGCGCCCTCCCATCCTCCTAGGTGTCACAGGGCAGCACAACTGCCCGCGTAGTGTGCATTTTTCCGCGAATCAATCTACATTTTTAATAGCATGAGACAAAACTACTCGTACATATTTTCAGGAAAATCACGTCCCCTTACTTTTTGCCCGATTAACTGGGTGCCTCGGGTTTGGTTCTTTGCAGATTCTGGTGTCATGAAACTGTTGTGCATGCTTCTCAGTGCAAATTGGCAAATCTGTACATTTCGGTGTAAGGACCCATGGTATACTCAAACCAGTATGATTCATGTTGCCTTTTCTGGGAACCGCATTAATAAACCTGGAGTTAGGAGGACACGAGGAATCGTGAAAGCGCTCCAAAAATTCTGGCACTTACAAAGTCTATTAAAAGCTGAATAACGCGAAATTTCGGGTACGTGAGTTCCCACGAAATGATTTGGAGAAACGAGTCTTTATGCACGAACGAGGCGTGGTCGCGTCAGACAATGATGTATTTCCCAGTGTCATTTACACGAGGCTGAGACGGTGCTAATTTAAAAGCCAGAATACCGCCGCGCATGGGCCAGGATTCCCTGTTAACAGGCTTACGGCCCGCCCAATTCATTTGCCTTCTGAATGTATGCTGGCAGATGTCGGCCGGTGTCTCGCCAGTCCCACCAACTACTATGGTTCTGGCCGGCTCGTCCACGGGTGGCGGGACTGTTCTCAACAAAAGTTAACGCCGAAATAAGCAGGCCCTCACGCCTAGCGAAGTAGCCCAACCAGGACACGGTAGTCTGGCGCAACAGCGCCGTAAGACTCGACCGCGACGATGTGACGCAACGGCAGTGCGCCGTCACACAGTAGGCCTAGCTGTCTAAACTGTCTGGGTGGGCAAAGCCCAACAAGCAATCGTCAGGCCGTTGGGGGGTTCGCGTGCAGTGCAGATTCTCAAGGCAGCCCCACACTGTGTTTAGCGGTGTCTCACGAACCCGGTCTTGCTCAGACGACAGTGTTGTTACGCAGCAGGAGGGTTGCTTGATCACCAAACAAAGCACTCCCCCGACCTACCCTCATAGTTCTCGGCTCTTCGCGAGTTGTTACACAGCGGACCTACTTGCCAGGATGGCTACTCAGCGGATTATTCTCGGTTCTCAAGTCACGATTAACTAGCTGAACCTTACCTTCAACAAAAATTTAACATTCACAAGTGGGCACAACCAGCGGAACAGGTCTGTAAACGCGGCTGCAACCGACGAAGCGAGTGACAGGTGCTCTAAATATAGCCGAAGACCCGAAGGTTAAGAGCAGTTGTCTGTAAGTCCAGTTTTTATACTTCCCCATCGTTTGGTGTGCGAGTAAGTTGTAGCAACCGGACGTGGTAGTTACGTCAGAACGGGCAAAGTCAGCAGCGTCTTTCAAACAAACCGTGCAAGAGGGGAGGCCGAGTCCATTGATCCTGTGTAAATCAAGGCCTGCGATTCCGAGCTTCGCGAGTAAACCGAATATCACCCATATTTAACTCCGCGAGTTTGGGAAGTGCCAACCTCCGAAGAGCAACGTCGTGTCCTAGTCGGAAATGAGGAACCGCCAACGCCGGTCGGGTGATTCTCAGATGGTAACTCCCAAACTGACGGAGCCAACTGTTCTCCACACACCCCAGGACTGCCATTTCCCTAAAACAAACGATTTTTTAGACTCGTAGACGTCACCGTCACGGAGTCAGTCGTATACTAAAGTTGAAACATCAAAGTTTGTGTCAACAGAAAGCTCTCCTAGATGCAGACCTCAGATTCAGGGAGGGCAGATAGGCGGGAGCCCATAGGAACAAGAAAATGAAGTGAACAAGGGAAGCTAGAGAAGATAGGTGGTAGACAGGAAGAGAAACGCAACGCTCCACGAAACCATATGGCGTTGGCAAGTTTACTTGCTGGAAAAGTTCAGGATAAACAAGCTCAGATGTAAGAACGCCAACGAAGGATGTGGGGGGGGGCGCAGACCAGCTGTGCAGCAGGAACGGGCAGACGGCGGAGGTTTGGAACCAGACCCACGTGGGTGCGCGCCTAGGTCTGGGTTGCCGGTTCGTTGGTTTCCATCGCAGTTGGGCCGCCGCCGGTTGTCGCTGTATTCCCGGCAGGACGAACCTTGATACGCCGCGGCGCGTAGAGGAGGAGATAGGCACAGTGCCAATCACCACCACCGGACAACTTAAGGATATCCTCGGTGCCCACCTCGGAGACGGTGTCATCATCCAGCTTGAACCACTTGCCTGGTGGGGGCGCGGAAACATCGGAGGCAACATGCGTGTGGAAGGGCGTAAGGAATCAGAGAAATTAAGGAAGGGATGCACTCCAAGTAAAAAAGGTGGACTTAAAATTCGACTCTTATATTCACATTAAATGGGCAGAACTAAGACCAACTGATGAATGGCAGTCGAAACGAGTGACTGACTTCTCACTTGTGAGTCACGTTCTTGATGCGAATCCTAATCAATGACACCGTATAAGAATGGGATGAAAAACGGGGATGTGAGACGTACATAAGATATAAAATTATACGGGTACCTCATACACATGTTGGAAAGCCCAGCTCGGGATCAATTACGCTCTACTACCGATTGTGAGACGGCTTGCTGGCGAAACCGCTTATATGAAGGAAAAGCCTGATATAAATACCGAACAGAGATCGCCAAAATGTGCCTATCTTCGACTATAGGCACGAACACTGCTCTCGTAAATTGGCGGGACATTGTGCACAGCCATCCTCGGGGTCGCTCCGGTCCTTTACCGCTAGCTAAATTCTTCTAAGGTGCTTCTCGCCCTTGAAGTCATATTTGACGTAAGTAGGCGGCCGCCGAGTCTGAGTAACAATAAATTCGTCCATTCAAAGTGACAAGGACCACTACTGTCTCGAAGAGGACGAGACTTCCGAGTGAATTGGTTTGTAGTCAGACAGATCTGCGCAACATGTGGTTCATCCTCTCTTTTCACATCCTTTATTATGTTTCATTGGCAAGATGGGGTTAAGATTGGTGATTAGCGATGTAACAGTGACTGACGAAGCTAAGGCCAGATCTAAGGATGCAACACACTTGCTTACCCCCAACTCCACATGAGTGGGATGTCGGATCTCACACAAGTGAAGGAGAAACATAGGTCACACCAAGGCGACATTGCAGTTTGACCCTTGGTCTTGGGTGATGCCTGGTCGTCTCGCTAATTGGTAACCTGAGCACGCCGTGATGGTTGTTTTTACAGAGGAATTGGAGTACTGAAATGACATTGTTCCGAACAGTGCCGTAAGTCACGTGAAACTGGGTAGCAGATAGACGGTTCTAAGTATTCCCAGGCAGTTAGAAAGAAAGGAAATAAAGAGGGGGCATACCTTTTTGCTTGACCCAACTGACGTAGTGCCCACTGGTGCTTGATCGGCCCTGGTGAGTGAGGACTCCCTGAAGCTCATAGAAGCCCGTGTTGTTGGATCCGGGATCATCTTCAAACCAGTAGGGTTCATACAAGTCGGGATTGTCGATGGGATTGGGCGAATTGTCTGAAAACACGAAAAGGCCGGCCAATAGACACATGTGGCTGGAGGAAAAAACCGACGGTAAAACGACTCCATATACGTAGCCAATAATTTTCTTTGAAAACCTCCAAAGACCCAGTTTACTAAGCACATAACGGACATACCGTCTTTAGCGGAGTTAGACATTTTTTTAGCCTTTGCTGACAGGGCCTCTTCATCCTCTTCGATGCGCACCTTCTCACGCGCCGGCAGCAACTTTTCCTGTAGGTCCTTGGTGCAGAACTCGTAGAGATCCAGGTTCAGTGGAAATTTGATGTCTTTGAGAATCTATGATATAATTATGCATTGTTTAATCAAAGGCAATAACAAAGGAAGCGACTATCTCAGCGACAGATAGTGTAGTGGGCAGGCAAATGAAAGAAACATTATGAGGGGGATACATATAGTGAGTAAATACTCAGACGTGCACGATTCGTACGAAGCCTTTCTCTCACATAAGATACTCCATATCACTTTGTACACGAGGGATGCGACACTTTTGGGCAAAAATAAGCATTGCCCCATAGTCAGACGAGCTCTTACACCAATAAATGTCGTGAACCCAACCTACGTTATTGCGCGTCTTTGTGAAAAAGTCTGCTAAGACGGCCTTCACAAACTTGAAGCGATTTCTAACCCCACGCAGACCAGGTGGGGCGATATGTGAACGACTGCGTTTCCTTCAACAAATACGAGTGCTTTGGCACTAAAAAAATTTAACTCGAAGTCTGTACAAGTCCATAGCATAAAACATAGTAACAGTTACAGCAAACAATACATTGCTCTGTCATAGAAGCCATTTCTTGGCTTATACGAACATCCTAAAGTAACCCCGAGATAGCAGACCACGACCTTCCGTATATAATATCCATTTGCAGGATAAGATGTTTTGCGTTGTATATTCTCAGCAAGCTGGTAATTTATAAACTGAAAAGGTAGTCTAAATAACCACTGAAAAATATTCTAATATTTGTAGGACCAGTACGCATTGTACCTAAGGTAATAGAATAGAGCCTATGATTGAGGGGTGATCATGAAAAAGGCTCCATGACAACACGTGGCGAAATGTTCCGTCTTGCCCCTTCACTTTGCTTTGGATAAAGGCGAATAGAGTAGACTCGCATGTGTTCAGTAGCCGAGCAATTTCTAAAAACATAGACTTCGAGACTCTTTTATCCCACTGACAGCAAGTGCATCCAGGCCTTTGTTACGGAAATCTATTTTCTCTGAGGAGCCTAGGGCAACCCACAGATATCACCGGAATAAAAATAACAAAATGACTACAAAATACATATTACTTGTGTAGAAAGCATCACCAGCTGCCCTATTTGTATAGTCTTGATAGCCACAACATACAGAGACCTTCCACTCTGACGATCGGCTACGAACACTGCGAACGGAATTTTCCCCATCAGACTCAACGGTCCCTGCCGTTGCCGAAAAGAATAGTGATTTTACGAAGGAAAAATCTTGTTCGTTTAAAGAAAACGGTAGCGTAAGGGTCGCTCTTGTTAAATATAACTCAGTCCTAGTCAAATAGCAAACCCCTGGACCAAAAACTCGAAAAAACGCATCTGCGCTAGGCAGACGCATATGGAGCGATGCAACAATGAAACGTTTTAACTCCCAATCCTGCGCATAATTCTGGAAAACTTCGTTGGAGACCGAACATTTGACCGGACACCAAACTGTGCATTACACTAATTTTCGAGGGATAATTAACCCTTAGATGGGTCTGCTTTCGATTTATTGGGAATCTTTTGTGAATCACAGCATGCATGTTTGGTTTTGCCATATGTGGTGGCAGGAGTAACAGCGGCAGGGTTGGTCACTTTCCCACTTCGCGGTATGCCTTTTAGGATATCAGTAACAATATTTGTGGCGCCTGAGTGAACATATTGATGTAGAGAGGACAAAGTGCGTACCTTTGCATTAATCTGTTCCTTCTCCTTGTAGAAGAAGCGCACAAACTGAACACAGAGGTAACCAGGAAGACGGGAGATGCGCGATATCTTTTTGTACACCGCCTCTCTGCCGAGGGCTTCAGAGTTCTTTGTCAGAGTCCCCTCGAGGCCATTACGTATTCCCGTGTGGAGATACTTAACTTCTGTAGATGGAGCCAAAAAGGCACTTTAAAGGGATATGCAGTCAAGTCATCGCGTTGCAGACGAGGCAGAGAAAAGTCAAGCGGTCCATAAAAACTTAGAGGGGTATTTTTTCACGAAGACAGGGGAGTTGCCGTCCGCCGCGAAAATTACCTGAGTAAGCGGTTTCCTCAGATGGTAACAGCGCGATCAGCAGCCTCTCCCAGACGGGACTCGGTGCAATCAGATAGGAGTCTGACAGCGGTCGCACTGTCAATCTTTAGGTTTGTTTTCATTGAAAGGATGGCGAGTGCAGTTCCGGTTAGCGAGCAGAACTGCAGCTTCGCCAATGCACTTAAAAAATGAACGTTTGACATGTCTGGCTGACGGTTTCGCGGGACCACTAACCCCATCGAAAAGTCTATAACGTTTGACCTCGTAGATTGGCGAAGTATGACTTTGGCCTACGGTACTAGCAAGGCAGATTCACAAACTAAACGATCTTTGCGTCATGCTATTAAGAAGTACTGATAACCCAGGTCATAGCGCAGTGCAATATGAGTCTTGGGGCCTAGCAAATCAGAACTGGCTGCAGGTCACGGAGTAACAAAATAGGCTGGAGTCCTCATAAGCCCATAATTGGTTCGCATTGAGTGAAATGCATAAAGATGTCGGCATATTCATGAGAGATCTAACCCAGCTGATCTGCAAATAAAACGCGGGTTTGAGAGAACAGCCCGCCAAACACAATCTGGTCAACAAAACGGGTAATTTCGGGCGAACAAAAGATGGTATGAGCAAACGGTGAGCCAATGACTTTTGAAAGATCATTAAAGGTTCGCGTTGGAATGACTGCAGAAGTTATCACATACTTTGACAGCCGCAATAAGTCTTGCCAAAAGAAGCATGCCAACAGAGAAGTATAACTAAGAGAAGGCACAATGTGCCACCGTTATTCTTTAAATATCTGCGATCAAGTCCGACTCACTAATCGTTCTGAGAAATAGCACTTCCTTTTATTTTATTGTTCGAGTCTGCCGAAAATCAAAGCTTAAATTGTTCAAGAGCGACGGGGTATAGAACACCGGAACTTTTACCGAGTCTAAAGATCTGAGCGCGACTTAGAGAGGAGGAAGATATAGTACCTTTATCAATGAAACAGGAGAGCTGAGTGAAGGTGTCAACTGACTGCTGTGAGAGCTCTTCACCCTCCGTGCACGTCAGCGTGGAAGCGATTTGTCCTGTCAAAAATCGGTCGATCGGATTCCAGCCACCGGAAGTGCCAAAGCTTTGCGGAAGACCCTAGAGCGGGTAGAAAGGGTAAACACTGGACTATGGCATTGAAAGTCTAGGCATATTTCAAGTGAGGAAGAACCCAGAAAACAAGACCGGGAGTTTTCTAAAGGTCTATCGTAACAGCGAACTGCATACCAGCATGACTGGGATTTCCAGTTGGAAAAATTTCAAAAAGTAATTTACATACGTTTCTACGGCTACTACAACAAGACTCACGACAGTGGCACCTAAAACACAGTTAATTGTGGCGATAACCCAAATCCTTCTACCGCAACTGAAAGGCAATAGCTCATGAGTGGATAGTTTCAGGATCTGAATGCACAATACCAAACACAAACTAGTAGGGCTTTTGGAAGTTCAAAATACTTAACAGTTCTAATACGTCAACTGATTGGGCTCATAGAATACCCTTTGCTGAAAATACACTTCAGTTTGGCGGGCCGGATGCCGTTAAGGGAAAACATGTGAACGCAGAGAAGTATGGGCGGTGGATGGCGAGCTCGAGACCGCATGGGCATTTACATGGGAGCATATTTGTAACCGCACATGAGGTACCGGAAAATCAGGACAAAACGAGCCGTCCTCTGGAAATGACGTCTATCTGCCTGGTCTTTTAGACGGGCGACAGCCGCTCAGTTTTGACTTGGAGAATAGGCTTAAAGCTCTTGCGGACGCCAGTGCGGCGGTGTCGCAAAACGAAACGAGTCAAGATAACCGAGCTTTAATAGAGGTGTAAACCCACAGTTTGAGGTTGTTGTCAAGTCAGTTGCTTCTTTAAGACGGCCGTCACGAGAAAATGGTCGGGAGCGCTTTGTACTGAGAGTAAACGTGGACAAGCATCTTAACACGTATCGATAGGGGATCAAAATGCTTGATTTTCAGCCTTTGTTTGCTCAACAGAACAACAAGTATGAAAAAAAACATGAGAACTACCGGTTTGCTTTGAAGTGCATGTGAGTCCACAGTAACCCTCTGCAGGATCCTCACGATCTCGGTCCAGCATTCGTTTGCGTCCTGTTGCTGATAGACAGGCATGCCCATACCTGCTACTGCCAGTGCCGGGTCCAACTGGCCCGCGGTGGCATTGCTAGCGGTTGTTGCGAACTGGGGAAAGTTAGAGTGAAGAGCTTTCAAAAAGAAGACGGGAATAACGGCCTTTTCAGCCTTATCCATGGACTGAAAAAGGAAACGCATCGAAGTGATGAGGGCTTTCGAGTTTTCGTTCATGCTGGTTGGTAGTCGCGAGGGCTCCACACTAAAGTAAAATCCGACAAAAATCGAGGAATAAATATGATTTTGCATCCAGTTATCATAATATATTATTTGCAACACTGGTGACATGTTGAGAAGACGGAAGACAAAATGTCGATTCAACGAAAGTACGAAGACATGTTTTCAAACAACACTATTGATTGGGTAACAATTAGAAAGTAAGTCAAAAGATAAAGTGGGTCGAACGACACGATTAAAATGACGTTAACGAAACAACCGTTTTTCACAGACTACTGGAGAATAAAGGCAAGTAGTCGGCACGAACAGTCGACGATTGCTCGGTAACGGACACTTATTTAAGATTCTAGGTGTAAGTTGCGAGTTAAAACAGGTCGGTCTGACATAAGCCAGTTTCCAAGACACAGCAGTAACGTGAGAAAAGTACGTGATGAAAAGGGCGTTTCCGAAGGCCTATACTTCGGGAACCCATGTTGATATGGAGATCGCAAGAAGTACTTTGGTCGGGTAACCAATAACTGTAGGACTACTCACGATAGTGGGATATTTCAATGTCATAAAGCTGCACCTCGTCTCGCAGTTAAATGAAGTGGGTATTTAACGTTAATGTGGTTGCAGCATGACTGACGTCGAATAAGCCGAGAATTTAAATACCCACCCCATCTGCATTTGTGTGTGAATCTTTTCGTTCGGCTATTTCTCGGTGGACAAGCTTGTTTTGATTGCGATCCAAGTAACCCAACACAAAGTATCAACCATAGTAAAACTTGGCGACCTCCAAAAGTGAATGAGGCGCTGTTACCAAGGAAATCTTCTGCATGCCTAAAAGTGAACGTAACAATGCATGCTAAAACAGGTTAGACGATTAAATTTGGAAACGTCATGAGCTCATTTCAATTATTGCTGAGAACACTATTTTCGCAAGGGTTAAAGGACTGAAAAAATAGATGTTCACAACTGCTGAGACGGAATCGGGCTGATTACTAACAAATATTGGAGAAGTGTCCTCAAAGCCAGGATTTCGGTAACTTGTACGCAGCATACATATATGCGTGAGAGTAAAACTAAACGACTTAATTACCGAATGATATAAAATGATAGGGTTTAGGCAGAGCGGTCTCGTCAATTATGGGTCCTAGTTTTTGCGTGATCTTAGCCCCAGCTTCCAGTGGTTAAAACCGTCCGTGGTATCTACCACATTTCTACGCTTACCAAGCACAAGATGTGGAAACACGCACCGACAAAGGCAAACAACATGAGAGATAAATGGTAAGAATGACGCACACTGATAGAGCATCCCGTAACTCGGGGATAGAAAACAGGAGTTGGAGAGTCCCGTTCATATAACAGGTATTTCCGAGGTTGACGATTCCAATGGGCATTCTTAATTTTCGTTCATGGACCTGAGCCTGCTCAACCGGGGCATGCGAAGTAGAAAGTAAACTCGGTGGTATTTCTTCCGCTGAACCCATCAGCATAATAGTAGCCCCCTAAGAGAAAAGTAAGAACTCGAAAAAACAACATCTCTGAGTTTGATGCCATCATAGTTGGTATCTCCAAGAATTCCTCCAGGCATCATAACATTCTGGCGTTCGGGTGGGACACCCGTAAGAGAAAACAGAACAGCTTTGAAGGATCCAGGTGGTTCATTTGTGTCACACTCAACATCGGTAAATTTCTGTTTCTTCCACTTGACATTAACTAAGAAAATGTAGGGAAAATTACATAATCAACGCACGTTTGTAAACAGGCATGCTTGCAGAACGGTTGGGCTACTCACCAAGTAACCCAAAAGGCACGGTTTGACCACAGAATTGACCTATTTAAACTTCAAGATAGGCTGATGTTACTATGAAGAGATAGCTAATTGAAGAGACAAAACGATGAAGGACCTCAAATGCAAGCGGTACAAATGAAGCCAGGAAATGCCAGCATAGTAAGCCGCAGTTCCCACCAATACATTTACCCAGGTACCGGTTAAGCCTTAAATTCGCCGGACTTGGATTCCCATATATGTGGCATATTTTGCGAACTGACAACTGTTATTGTGTTTTGATGTAGATTGCCAAGCAAAGATTATGCGCGAGCTCTCAAGTATTAACACCGAAGCGCACTAAGTTGTCAAATAGGTCTTCCGCATCGTTTGAATTTATGTCAACCAATTTTCTGAATCAGGTATTCACCCTCGAGCTCCCCATCCATATTCAGGAAAACAAGGCAACCAATTGTTTTAAAGGTAGCAGTATGTGCGTGAAAAAATCAAACCGTCGTTAGTGGGAAAACTGTGATTACATGTACAGTAGTTTCTGAGCAAAGGTGTATCTACTCTGAAGGCAAATATTTCGATAGTGTCTGAAAGCACCATCGCAGCATGAGGTCCATTCCAGACTTCAAGAACTCGTTGTAAGATGCATTCAGTCTGAAATGCCTATGAGCTTACTTTCTCTAAAGTTAATATGGGTGAACGCGCAGGCGATCCGCTCCAGTCAGTGCAACATAGTCCTTGAAAAGTCGTATGTGCTGAGGACATCAAGCAATCCGGTAGGTCTGAATAAGTTCATTGCTCAGTTGCCTGTGGGCTGGGGAAAAAAACTAGGCTTATTCAACTTATTTTTATGTGACAGAGCTCGAAGTGTCTTCAACACCTTCGCAGTCCTCACGTGGGCATATTACAGCAGCTAATGATTCTCGTCTAGCCCCGAACGCCAGGAAGTTTATGTGTCACGGAAAATGCGGCGGTTTTACAAGTATTTCTGGTGACAAGTATGATAATAGAGGACCAGCTGCCGGCACGAAATCTTTAAGTTCCATGAGCTTCGCTGTATCTGAGCCAAAAACCACAACGAACATAGCACGCAGCGGAATGTTAACGGCTCTGACTCAAATGGTCCCAAATTCGACCTTACGGTCACTATAAAGAAAATAACTGTCCCATACAAACCGATGCCAACTGCTGACGACATCGCTACCCGTATCGGTGTCAGTGGAATTCATCTCACGACAGTGATAAATTCCAGAAACTTGAAAGTAGTTTTAAGGAACAGTAAAATTGACGACAAAAATGAACGTTAGAATTCTGGGATCAGACAAGAATTCAGCAGCTTACAACATCCCGTCTGGAATTGCTGTGGTGTCCCGCTTTAAGCGAACCTTAGGATCTACAGGGTTACTTTCTTGATACTGCTCGTGTGAGGGCCTGAATCGCTGCTTGTCCGTCTAAGAAGATTTCTTCATTTCCATGTTAAATGCATGCGAAGAATAATGAGTGTGAAATGGCAGGAAGAAATACCAGACACATATCGTAGAAAGAAACCTCACAACTACAACTGCAGTGGAGTAGTAGCGTCCAGAACACTTTAAAAACAGACAGCTTGTTTCATCTTAAAACACACCATTATTACCGCCGCCACTAGAATCGCCAGGGAGGACACTCCTGTCATCATGTACAACATCACTTAGAAGCAGACATACGGGTGCTCTTCAACCTTTCTCCATTGCGACCTCGCTTCCCGTTCACGCATCAGTCCAGTCGCTCACTTGCGAGCATGCTGTACTGAGTCCGGCAAACTTGTGCCTTAAGTCCCAACATAACCGCCTGCCCACACTGCCCTAGAACGTTAAGGCAGCGCTTTTGTCTTCTCGGCCATGTACGTATGTAAGACAGTGAAATTAACCCCAACGTCACAACATTTAATACATATCCTACATTCAAAAACTCCACTACCGACTGTTCAAACGTTGTTTCCGACGACGCCAAGCCTGGGCTGTAAAGTAGGGTAGGAGCAGGTTTGGTGACATGTGCATGAATAGTTCATGGTGATAGTAGATTTGCTCAACATCTAACGCACTCTCCCTCCTCCCTCTGGACAAGGTGTCATGACAGTCAAGAAGACCGGAGACGGAGGAAGGCACAGATGACTGACACGACGAAAATGCTCACCGAGACGTTTGTTACCATACCGCCTCGGATCTCATGGAGTGAAAATACCATAGGAGTCACATTATGAAGGCGTTATTGTAGCCTGACTGTCAGTTCACCAGTCGCCTACTTTACAAAAACGCATACTGGGCTGACTGTGAGGTTCGGGTTACCCCGGCAGTATTTCAAGTCGCGGCTTTTAGCATGCAGTGAGAGCTTCAAGCTCGCCGGATCGTCCATAGTGAGGAATATGCGTTGGTATCGTAGATCCCACTCTGTGTTTTCACTCCTAGGCATCAACTCACTGCCCGAGCCGGCCAACTAACTGATGCTAGGACTGGGAGAGGTATCTGGCAGGTCTAACTATAGCCTTCTGTTTGTACCACACACAACCTAGCCCAACATACGCACACACCGGGATTTCAAACAGGGGTAGACGGATACGATCTTACATGTAGTGGAGGAGTCATATGAAGTAGGCGCCGAAAAACGTGCTTCTTGCTTACGTGAGATGTGCCCATGGTGTTGGAGGTTTTCGTGTGTGGGCATGAGGTGATGGGGAAGCATGTGACAACCTGGTCACGTCTGTGGTAATTTACCTCAGATTTTCGTGGAGTTAGGGGTAACCGAATAGGCCCATGCGATGGCTTTATTTTTGAGAAGTATGCGGGCAGTCGATGCGATGGCGTCTGATTTGTTTTGGTGTCCCAGATATTGGTTTGTCAGTCTCTTTGCGATGGACTCACTAGTGACTTTCTCGGCCGATGCCTGGCGTGTATCTACTGTGGCATTGCGGGCATGATGTGTTGGGAAATGCTTAGCCGGTAAGTGTTGTTATTATGCCAGTAGTTGCGTCGATGGTGGATGGAGAGTTCGTGGGACTGAGGATGTAAAAATTTAGCCTGATGTTCGATTTTGCGGTGAATTCGTCTGCCGCGGATGCACACGTGGCCGAATAGGCCCATGCGGTGTTAATATGCATGCATATTATGGACGATGGAGGCAAATGTGACGAGTTTACTTGGGACTCACTGGCGCTAGTGCGTAGAACACAGTGCAAGGGGATCGACCAGGCCGATATGTGAACTGAGTATGAGGTCGCAATGAGAACAGGCTTCGACCGAGTCAACCACCACCGCCGCCGCCGCCGCCGCCACCAACACCACCACCAATTCAACAGCCAGTGTTCCATCTTGTTCTCAGTGCCGCCGACCTTTTTAACCATGCACAGACCTGATCGTTCAGGGTGCAGTGGCGTGCGGATCCGTCACAATGGGTCCGGCAAATTTATCCTAGAAACTCCTGTTTACATCAGTTTTGCCTATTTTACCTATCCAAGCTGCTCCAGGACATTCACTTATTACACGCCTCTCTTCGAACATATGCGTTTCAATAAAAATTCTTCGTCAGATATCACAGCCCAGGCTTCACCGCACCCATTGTGCCCTGGCCCTAACACGAAACCTTATATCACATATGCGCATATTCTATAACACGCCATTGCCCGTATGTGGGCGAAATGTAGCACGTCTCGTTTACGCGCTGGTTGCTGTGGCCTGGTACATGATGCAAGCAGAAACTTGTGTGTGGCATACACAGACAGACCGTTCGGAATTGTCATCCACTGCATTAAGATCAATCATCAGCTAACTGCTAAGCAAAACGGAAAGAGAAAACGACCCAGGTCGTCGAAGCAAACCTCTACCTCACTCGGAATATAGGTGAGTAAAATGAAAATAAGCAGAAATGTAAACAGGTCTTGCATTGCCCTAGGTTCGACAAATCTGGAGTCTACGGCGTATATCTACAGAAAAGTGAATAAGCGATCGACAACCCTTAAAAAATCCGCAAATTTCAATCGTATAATTTACTAAAAATGAGGATATAGGTAGAGACTTGGAAAGTCCTATCTACAGCTAGACGTATGAAAGGCATGCGCAAGAGCTCATGCATGTTTTCCCCGGCGTCTCTCGTAAGGTAAGGAACTCGATCCGCCGACAAGCTATATCCCAAAACAGTCATAGCAGCACGCCCTTTGCATGTCAACCAGACTATTATGTAAAAGGCAATCTGAGGCAACGAAGTAAAAACGTAAGTGCATCATCACAGACGTGCACACCTTGACGAAAACCCGGATGACGCAAGCCCAATAGTAGGCTTACAGGGGACAAGTCAAATGATTGGAGTGTCAGAAAAATTGGCTCCGGTTTGATGATCCAAATAGTCGTTTGATAATTGACCACGAAGTTCAGCTTTCGAGAACAGTGTTAATACAGTAATAAAGGCAGTATCGGAGTCTGTGACTCAGTTTAACATAAATAATATAGGGCAAGTTGGAGACACAGGTTTTCTTTCTGAAGTATCACTTTGTCTGGTAGTCGAGGGAGTACCTGAGGCTTCTGGCGAAAACCTAAAAGATAAGGTTAAACA